AGGGTGGGGAGGAAGGGGAAAGCCCAAGCCTGGTTTGCAAAGGGACCAGTCAGGAAGGCGTGCCAGCTGAAAACAGACTGTGCTGCAGCCTCCTTCAGGGGAGGCTTTGAAAGGCAGCGATGAGGGAGAATCTTCCCAGTGGGCAGAGTCTCGGGCGGTACACCTGGTCATTCACTTTGTGTGGAAAGAGAAGTAGCCTGAGATTAGAATAGAGATGGACTCATGGCAGGAGCATGTGGCCATGCCAGCTGGTCAGAGACCTAGAAGGAAAAAGACTGGAAGATCAGGGATAAAAAGGTCTTGGGACAGACTTGCAGGTGGACAAATGGGAGTGAGCACAACCATCTCTACAGCACCGATGGATGTCCGTCAAGAAGCGCCCACTACGGAAGAGGTACAAAACCAGAGTCAGCAAAATGACTCGGCCAGATGGTGTAAGGGAACCTTGGCCACCAGCCACCAGAGCTGACAGGATGGGCAGGTGAATGAAGTGGCCACAGTAGCACAGATGGAGGCTCCACATAAGCCCAGCAGTATAGACTCACTCACCAAGGCTAAGCTAGTTGAGCTAACTGACACTGCAGAACATCCAACCAGCCACCTGCAATGACCAGCGCTGGGCCCCCAAAATCGCGCCATTCCTTGAGGAGACTGACCTGCCACTTGGTAGGAAGTTGACTATATAGGCCCCATCCATCCTCAAAGGGCCAAAGTTTGCTCTCACAGGAATAAACATGTACTCTGAGCATGGGTTTGCCTGCCCACAGATCCTCAGCCAGCACCACCATCCACCCAGATCTTCCTTCAAAGAGCCTGCTGTCCAACTGTGAGGACAGAGGTCAGCACAGAACCTGCAGCCATCGGCTCCTTCAGGGTCAGCCTCCGCTGAGGAGCCCCCTCCCCAAAGCGTGACCTCCCTGGGCAGCCTTCTCTGGGGACAGAGGGAGACAGGGATATGAAGGACATTCCAGCTCGATGCAAGACAATTCCGACAAGCCAGGCGTTACTGGGCCTGTCGCAGGCGGGCTTCTCCCTCTGCTCAACCCTGCCTCCACTCTCTTGCTTAATTCCCCTTAAACACCTCGCACCCCAAACTCCACTGCTGCATCTGCTTTCAGATACCCCATCCTGAGGCACACATGTGGGCACTCACAGGGTGCAGATCTTGTCCCAGAGTTCCTTGCTACACTTGCCAGTTTTCAAAGACAAATGAGGTAAAAGTGAGACAAGCAGTTCAAAATATCCATCATTGTCTCATGGTCTTTATTCTTATTGTTATGACCTCAAACAAGTTTTAAGTAGAGCTTAATGATTTACACAGACTATGTTTAAACATAAAATGCTGAATCATAAAGTGGCAATCCTGGGATTAATAAGAATAATTTATAAAAATCAAAGAAAATGGGGAGAAAATGAAGGGAAAAATTGAAAGTAGTAGTTATATATAACTCTACTATGTCGAAGTATTCAACTCTATCAGTCAAACATATTTGGAGTGTCCCTGACGAGCCAGGCTGGGGTACAGAGCTAGAACAGTCTACATGCTACTCACGTGGTGGGAACAAGACTAACAACGACAATGGCATCCCCCAAAGGAATGAAGACGTGTGCCTTAAGGCACCTGAGTGAGATCATTTCTCCAGAGTACTTCGTAACCACTTGTGATAAAAACATGAAAAAAACATTGCAACATGTACAGTTTTAAAATAATAAAAACCAACTCAGAGACACCTGGCCTATTACACGGTTTCCTTGCTGACCTTCCCCACTCCAAATCCAAACAAAATACTTTTCTTCTCCAATTACCAGTAATGGAGACTCTCGGGGACTAGGAAAAGGCCTTTTCAGAGGGACTATTTCATTTGTGGGGATAACAGCAGCAGCACCTGTCTACTTCTGGCTCCTCGGTGCTTACTAACGTAATAACCCAGACCAGTTACCTCTTCTCCGGGGTAAATACTGTGTCTGATTCCTGTGCGTCGGGCTTTCGCGCTGCATTTGCAGAGTGGTCCGTCATTCATCTATCAGAGACAGGAGAGAGTTAGTGTTTACTGGGGGGGAAAGTCCACACCTTGCATGATGATGCTTCGGGAGCTGTGTGGGTTTTAATGTCATGAGTACTGAAGCTCTGAAGAGGCTGTCACGGCCAGAAGATTAAACAGGACTTCCAAAACCAATAAAGCTGCAAACTGTCTACACTGTCTGATAAGAGGAAACTGTATGACAGTGCTGGATCCCCAAGTTATTTGTGCAGCCAAGCAGAAAATACCAGTGTCTGCACACTATGTGCCCCCGTCTCCTCCTATCACTGTTCAGTATGTTTCTCCTACTTCTTACCTCAGGAAAAATGGATTTTTCACAAAAGAAAGCATATTTTATATCCTGAAGGAATTTATAAAATGCTTTGAAGGTAATCAGATTAAATGTTTTCGAAAGACAAACCTAAAGGTATCTGAAGCAGAGAGAAGACAATGCCTGCTGGAACCAGAAAAACTTCCAACACTAATCAGGTAGGTCTATGTCTGGTTTTTCACCTGAATTCACTTATTGCCCTGAACTCCACCCACCATTCAATAAGTGAGTAATTCCTGAATGCCCTCTTGGGTAGAAAGAGGACTGCTAAGCACTGGGTGGGGCGGGGGGTGTTGACAAATAGCTCAGGGTCCACGGACTCAGGAATATGTATTCTACATAGGAGAAATAACATACCTATAACATGCTTAGTAATTTTAAAGAAAACGGGGGGAAAGTCAGTGCAGATGGAAATACCACTGGTTTCAAAGAGATGAAATATCTGGAAGGCTAAACAGGACAGGAAAATATGATGGTGATTCTACATGAGGCACCAGCATGAGGCAAAAAAGAGAAGAATCCCTGTGCTATGCTCCTGGGGACATGAGAGCCATCTAAATGGAATGGATCGTTAATGTCAGCACGAAGACCAACGCGCAGAACGGAGGTCAAAATCTTGAAGCGCCTTGACAGCCAGTTTCATGACTTTATTCAACATAAATGGCAATACATTACCAAAAAGGAGACCAGAGCATCAGTTTGCAGAATGAGGAGGGGGAATTCCATCTCTCACTTTCTTTGCATTAATAAAGAAGTGTGTGTGTGTGTGTGTGTGTGTAGGAAGGGGGAGGGAGAGGGAGAGAGAGGGAGAGAGCACATTCTAACATACACATTTACACAAACACNGTAGGAAGGGGGAGGGAGAGGGAGAGAGAGGGAGAGAGCACATTCTAACATACACATTTACACAAACACACACATTTCTTTAAAATCCTGGGATTTGTAACTCATTGTGTCCAATGAAAATATCTCAATAAAACTTTGAGAAGAAATATTAAAGTGAAAACTGTAACTTCCTTTAGCCTTTTGGGAAATCTAAAGCTCCAGGTGGTCCAGCAGAGAAATAACATCGCCACCTTAAAAAATATCCGGTTACGTTATTATCCAAAGTCACAGCTGGCAAACAGACATGTGATGGGATCCCCTCCTGACAGCACACTCCTAACAATGGTTACCACTTGCGATAGAAACTGTGGGGAAATCGCCTCCTGCTCACGGATTTTCAGGGGTGCACACAGACATCCTACGTGCCTGCCTTTTACCTGCGGCTGGGCCCTGCCGCAGATCAGCCCTTATTAGACTCAACCGTACAGAAGACAGACAGATACAGTAACAGAACGGTGAGGCTACACAGAACGATCCGACAGGACTAAGAAGCCACAGAAAGCCAGGGGTGGGCTCCTGACAGGGGAGCAGGCCACCAAAACACCACACTGTGGGGAGAGGAGTGACTACTGATGGACACAGGGCTTCTTTCAGAGGAGACGAAAATGCCCTAAAATCCGACTGTAATGATGGTTGTACAGTCCTGTGAATACCCTGAAAAAACACTGAATTGTGAGCTTTAAGTGTGTAAACTATATGGTATGTGAATTAAAACTCACTGAAGCTGTTTAAGAGATCATATACATGATTAATATATCAAAGTAAGTTTCAAAACGGATTGACAACTGCAAACATTTCTGCTCAATTCCAAGAGGGCAACAGAAAAAGTGCATTTCTGTCAGGCATTCTAACTATATGAATTCTATCAAGAAAAAAATTTAGATAGCCGCCATCTAACAAGGGCCAGGCGAGCATTCGAATTAATATAGAATGGTATGAATTTATTTGCAAAATATAAATTTTAAATTACCTTTTTATAGGTATGTTTTATTATGCTTAATAAATTCATATGCATCAGATACTGTTTTTGTTTGTGTTGTATATTTTGTTTGTGTTTATATATCATGTAGTGCTTCATAACAAACAGTAAGGAGAAATAAAAATATGTCCAGCTATGACATCACCAGCTCAAAACATACTTACCAAGGAAGAGAGCTTACAGGGAACTGTGACTATTACCAACTAAGAAATATGAAGCCCTACAGGACCGAAGACACTGTTTATTATACTGCTACAGGATACCTTCCAGGCGAACTGCTTTTAAAAAGACCTACAAGTCCTCTCTCCCTCGTCCTACCATTTGTCTTCCCCCGTTTACTGCGAGTTTAACGAGGCGGCGCCATTACCCAGCTCCCTGACACAGGATTTACCAGCGCCGGCAAACATGATTCAAGGGACAGCTGCTCTGGCGCTGACGCTCTGCAGCTGGGCGCCGAGGCTGAGCGGAAAGGGGCTCTGGAGAACGGCGTGCGGCCCGAGGAAAATTCAGTTTCCACACCAGCCCGCACGCATCGTCTGAGCCTGGAGCCGTAAGGGTGCCGCGGGGGTGTGCAACCTTCACAGCAGGAACATAAAGCCCACGCGCACCTGGCCTGGGTCGTTGTACCACAGCTCATCGTGAAGCCGGTCCGGATGGGCCTTTTTGCGCTTGATTTCTGCAATGACGTCAAAAACCTCAGAGTCTGAGCTGCTGGAACAGGTGCTGTCCTCGTCGGACTCACACTCGGATTCGCTGGAGCTTTCTAATAAAGGTGAGGGGAGAAACGTGAAGAGAGGTTGAAGAAATTCACAAGACAGTGATACGTGGAGACTTCCAAATGACCCAGACCTCTCAATCTAAGGACAGCTGTTTATTCTTTCAGCAAATATGTGCCTACTCTGCCCACGCACTCTGCTCAGCAGTACCATGAAAAGCGATGCAGCCCGCAATGCGAAGTCACGCTCCAGCTGGGAGGGCAAACAAAGGCTTTTACAGAGAAAGACCTAATGAAAGAGGCCAGAGAAAATGTAAACCACAGTGGCATGGGGTTACACATTTTAAAAGGTGCAGCAATTCAGAAAATTCAGAAAAGGGCAAGTCCCTTGACCTGGAAAGGTCACCAACGATTTCCTGGGAGGGGTGGACATGACCCAGGCAGGGAGGTGGGGTGGGTGGGCTGAGGGGATGGAGGTGAGAGGGAAGGAACATAGAGGGAGAACTGCAGGCAAAAGCATGGAGACAAGAGCACGCGGGACACTGGCTGGAGCAAAGGTCCCGAAGAAAAATCCCGGGAGGTGAGGGCTGAAGGGCCATGACTGCCAGGCTGAAGGCTCTGACTGCCAGACCCAGGAATTTAAATTTTTTCTCTCAATAAAAGATTTCAGGTTTGGAAGTGCCTGGATAAAAACAGAGGGTTATGGGTGAAGTGAGCCAGTCCAAAAAGACAAATACTGTGTGATTCTTCTTATAGGAGGTGTCTAGAGTAGTCAGATTCATAGAGGCAGAAAGTAGAATGGTGGGTGCTGGCGG